TTGGAAATTCATGTTTTTCTCTTTAAATATTTCTTTGACTCATGTTTTTCTTTTCCTCACTTTTGGGTGCCAAATTACACTTAAGTTATTACCTTTAGCATATCTCATATGTCTCTTAAGGTCCTCTTTTTCTGAATTTTCGTATCTTTATGCTCTGTGTTTTAGTCTGGATTAATTACTGACTTTTCACTAATTGTGTCTACTGACTTTATTGCTTCTGGTATATTATTGCATTTATTTCTTAATTCAAACATTTATTCTAGGTTTAGTATGTTAGTCTGGAGCTTTAATTCTAGTTCTTGGTATTAACTCATCTTATCTTTTTTTCAATATTAATGACAGTTTTCTATGTCATAGCTATGGCATTTATTGTGTATGTTTTCCTTGCATATTTTTTATTGAATTCCAGAACTGAGTATGAAAAATTATAGCGATTCTAGATGATACTTTGCTTTTTATGGTTGGGTTCAAGTATCTTCTGGTAGCTTGCCTTTAGGAAATACATTATTCTTATTCCATTCAGGAAGTAAGCTAAATGGAGCCTGGTTATGGGTTCTATAAGGTCATTTCTACTTTGATATATCTTTTCTCCTTGTGTAGTTCTTCAGTATCCTAACTAGAGGCTTGTGGTGATTACTAAATTCATTTAATGGTGGACTATAAGGCATACTTTTCGTCTGCTCGAACTCCGATGAGTCAGCTGAGTCATGATTGTATTTTTCAGTGGCTTCAGTTCGTTTGCCAAACGTCTGTCTGCCAAGTTGAAATACTGAGCAGGTGACGGCTGGAAATCACTCAGACAGGACCATTTATCATAGCCTACTCGCTTTCCAGATCCCAGGCCTACTCCCTAGCCTGCCCAGGTATTCCCTAACTCCATTAGTGCTTCTTTATGCCTGTGAGAGTAGCTAAACATCTGCTTGCATTTCTGATTACCTTTACTTTTTTTTTTAACCTGATTCTTGTTTGTTTTTTTGTTTGGTTCATTTAAAATCAGCAATTTCCCTGAAAAGAAAAGTACTTGCAATTTCAAGCTCACACCTCTGTTTGTTTCTCTTGGATTTGTCCCTTGGAAGTTTTAGTTGCTCATCAATTCATAATGTATATAATAACTTTTCAAACAGATAATGTGCTTTCGAATCTTGGCCAGATCTGCCACAAATCAATACAGTATAATCTGAAGAATAAGCCTGGTGTAGATTTTTATTTTTTGAAAAATATCTAGTGATTTGTGGATATGAGTTTGTTTGCATAATGATGTGTTCCTGTAACTTAATTCTTTTTTTTCACATAATATTTTATAAGGTGGTTACAATATTGGAAAGCATTGAATACACACACACACGATATTTCTATTCTATATATAGTTTTTGGCTTAACTGAGAATCTACACAGATTTATCCATTCATATTGCACCCTTAAAAAAAAAAAAAAAAAAAAGCGCTTAGGATATGGCTCAAGATGAGATGGGGATTTCTGTGACTTGGGGAATCTGCCATTATTTGGGGGCATTCTTAGACCCTGTGCTTCTTAAGTTTAGTCACGAGCCTGTGAGAACATTTATGAAGAGAGAATGTTATCACACAGTTGAAACAGAGACTCTGAGGGTGTACCTAATAGTAATACCAACCGCAGGGAAAGTAGTATAATGCCTGTAAATGCAGAGGAAAGCAGTTGAAGAAAACCAGATCCCAAGAAATTGGGTGGAGGGAGATGGGGAGGGGGTGTTTGCTTCAGTTTCCTGTCTGCATTAACCAAAGAGGATTAATCACTGAAGATGAAGACTGTCCTCACCGTGCCCACCCAAACAGACTTTTCATCTCTCTTCTTCTATAGAGTTATGTAGATTCCATCTGCATAACAGAACCACCATCATTCACCGTGCGGTAGTGCCCTTCACTTTCCCATAACTTGTCCCACCTCCCCTATCACCTGTAGGAACTTTGTCCCAGGCTCTTGTCTGTTCTTTGGGACCATTCATCTTCCCTAAAAATAGGTTCTCTCCCTCTAAAATTGCCTACACCCCCGCTCCCCTCGCCCCTGTGAGGAGGTTATTTAAACTTCAGCCATCTGGCTTCTCTTCGGGTTCCGCACTTTGTGTGGCTCCCTGCACCTGCCTGTGTGCTTTCTCTGCTGTGGCTCTGCTGTCAGCTCATTTCAGCAGACTCAAGCACCGAACCTGCACACAGGGGAGGGGAAGTTCCTTCTGCCCTTACAGGGATGATGGGATGTCACACAGGCTTGTGTTTCTGGCTATTTGGGGAAGTCCAGTTTCAGCTTGGCTCCCATTTCAGAACAACTGTTTTAGCCGAAAGGGCAGACTTGTCACTGAGGCATGGCAGAGGGACCAGGCTCAGGATTCCTCAATTTAAGGACAAGCTCTTTCTATCATTCGCAGACTATATTGAAAAGAACAAAGCTGCATGCAAATCAATTGCTGAGCCCTTAGTCACTGGAGTCAATGGTGAGCAATTACATTAGCAGAGTCCAAAACTGATCTGTAGATAGTCAAGAGTCCTGAAGCAGAAGAGCAAGCAATGCCAGCGCAAATCAGCAGGAAAGCACGTCTATTTTTACCAAGAGGCCTGCACAAGGATCTTCACAGCAGCATTGTGCATAGCAGCTTTAGGCTGGGAATAATCCAACCACCCATCAACAATGGAATGTATTCATGAAAATATTTGTATGTGATAAACTACGATATTCCAGTGAAAATAACTGAATTACAGTTACATGAACGTGAATGACTCTCACAAACATAAGGATAAGCAAAAGAAAACAGATACTGGAGAAAATATATTGTAGACTTCCATTTGTATAGATTTAAAAACAAACAAGAGTAAACTATAGTGTTAAGGGGACCATGCTCAGGTGCTAAAATTGAGAAGAGCAAAGAAGTAGATGTGCTATGCATTGAGCTGGACATTTCTGATTTGCACAGTTTTCTTTATGTGCAGTATATTTCACAGTAAAAGTGGTTAAAATAACCAATCTTTATGTATTTTTAAGACACAGAGTTATTTCGGTCCATTATTGGCAATATTTGGGTGTGCCTAGTGAGCTGAACTAGATAAACTATCTCAAGTGCTTTGATGAGGTTGGGCTCCACCCAGTGTGTGCTGGCTGTTATGTAACCATGGTAACGAAGAACACATTTCATTGGTTAGAACAGAGGAAGACTAACCAATCATCACAATCCTCATGTCTGCACAGCAGGTTTTTTTTTTTTTTCCAATGAATAAAAAAGGAAGGTCAGAGATGAGATAAAATGTTTCCAAAGTGTTTAAAAATTTAGTCTGGTCTAAAGAAAAAGCAGTGTTGCAGTAACACAACGGGAAGCAGCGGAGAGAGCCCATTAGAGAGTAGATTTTGAGTGCTGATCGCTGCTGCCAAGGCTAAAAGGTGAAAGATGTACTCTCTATGAGTCATTGAATCCGCACAGCGTGAAGCTAATATACAAACGCTGCGGCAAATGGGGAGTCTACATTCAGGGCAAATTTGCACAGGGTTTTTTTGCACATAGGATGGTCATCAGGCCCCAGGAGAGTAAGTACTCCTGTTAAACAGTGTTGGTGATGTTAGACTACACTAATCAAATAGACCAGAGTCGCAGACAGCACAGTCCTCTGCTTCACGGGGGTCAGGGACCCAAGACCTATGTTTTATTGCAATAGAAAGAACAGTCTAAATACGCATGGTCCTAGTTTGTGAAATTTGTTTGCGTATATCAGCATCACTGTCTTTTTGACTCTGTTGTGCAGCTAGATCAGTTATTACTACTCTCATATGCTACAGAAGTAAGCCAAGACTCAGGGCAATTAAGTGGTGGTGTTTAGGGTTACACAGCTGGTACAGGTTAAACAGTCTAAACCAGAAAAACCAAAATCTGAAATGTCCCAGTATCTGAAACTTTTTGAGTGCCAACATGATGCTCAAAGGAAATGCTTGTTAGAGCATTCCAGACTTCAGGTTTTCGGATTTGGGATGTTCAACCCATAAGTATAATGTAAACATTCCAAAATCCAAAAAAAATCCGAAATCCAAAACACTTCTGGCCCCAAGTATTTTGGATAAGACACACTCAACCTGCAGTAGGATCAAGTCTTCAGTACTTCAGGTTAGTACTTACCTGCCTTACATGGGGGGTTCTCAATTGCTCATCCTTGAAATTACTCCTAGGGCTTCAGGAACCTATAACAGCTATTAAATAATATCTTATGCACTTATGGACCACCACTTTCACATGTATGTATTTATTGCATGCAACAAGACAAAAATCTTTTCATGTTGTAAATGAATTCACGGTGCCTTTTGTCATTACATTTCTTTTTTTTTAATTTCAGAATATTATGGGGGTACAAATGTTTTGGCTACATGAATTGCTTTTGTACAATTTGAGCCAAAGTTATAAGTGTGTCCATCACATTTACCCAGTAACTGTGATTTTACCCATCCCTTCCTCCCCTTTCCCACCGGCTTGCTTTCTGTTGAGTTTTATTTCCATATATGCCCATGAGTGTTGATGGATTAATTCCAATGCTGATTGCATGTGGTGTTTGTTTTTGCATTCTTGTACTACTTCACTTAGGAGAATGGTCTATAGTTTAATACAGGTCGTTACAAAATATATTAGTTCACCATTTTTTTTTATGACTGAATAGTACTTCATGATATACATATACCACATTTTATGAATCCACTCATGAATTGAGAGGCACTTGGGTTGATTCCACATCTTTGTGATTGTGACTCATGCAGCAATAAACAAAGTTAAAAAGCTTCTACACAGCCAAGTAAATTATCAATGGAGCAAATAGACAACCTACAGAATGGGAGAAAATATGTGTATGCTATGCATCTGATAAAGGGCTAATAACAAGAATCTACAAAGAACTCAAGCAAATCAGCCAGAAAAAGTTAAACAACCCCATTAAAAAAAGTGGACAAAAGACATGAACAGAAACTTTCCAAAAGAAGATAGACTAATGGCCAATGAACACATGAAAAACTGCTCATCTCTAATCATCAGGGAAATGCAAATGGAAACCACAATGAGATACATTTCCTAATGACTAGCGCCATGAATACTTACTGAGCACCTAGTGTGCGTCACGTGCTTTTCTAGAAGCCTGGGCTACAGAAGTAAACAAGACAGAAAAAGTCCCTGCCCTCTTGGAGTTTATTTTCTTATTAGAAGGGAAAGACAATAAATGAGTCAAGCAATAATATATTAATACTGGAGCGAGTATTAAGTGATCTGAAGGTGAAGCAGCTCTAGGGGAGTAGAGATGGGGTTGTTGGAGACACCCCTTCCCCAGGGGGCTGGGGATGCCCCAGCACCCCACAGAGCTTGCCCAGGGGCAAGAGGTGCAGGAATAACATTTTATCAAAGTCAACATCCATTCAGGAGACCTTGGATCTGCACAAATCCTAAATGGCAGGAGGGAGGCATCTTTGGGGAGACCACTTCGTTAATGCAAGACCATGAAGAAGGTCATTACAGAGGACTTCTTTTTCTTGATTCAGCTGGAACCGAGTCTAAAAAAGATTATGATATACATTTTAGTAAAATAAGAGCAGTTTATGGAATAATACCATCAAAATGCTTTTAAAGTATAGATGGATCTCAAAACCATGGTCTTGGGCATTGTGAAAAGATTGCTGATTTTGGAGACAGAATGTTCTAAAGAGTTCTAAATTTAGAACAAACATTTTACATTTAAGACTTTGAGTGTGCTTTACAAAAAACCTACTTAACAAAAACATCAGCACTTGAAATGTTTGATTTTCTTGCCCAAGGAGCTCTCACAGTGTTTCATGATAATGATTACGCAGGCGAAATCCAACTTGGCAAGTTGCACGGGGCCGCCCAGAAGAGGTTCTGCCTGCCGCTGAGATAGCATCAAAGAAACAGATATATTTTAATTTTGTTTAAGAACAATTAAGTATGGATCATTTTTGCTTTCAGCTAAAGATTTCTCGTAGCCAGAATTCTCTTCAGTTACGTAACAAATAAAGGAATGCCTCATACTTGAGATTGTTTCCACATTTGCTTTACAAGCTATAGCTTGTCTTCTCAACGTAAAGCACATTCAGCTGTCAGATGAAGCCCAGGGAACGGAATGTTCTCTGTACTTGGAAACTCCATGTACTTTGCCTTCTTCTTTCTTCTTTTTTAATATTGTAGGGCTTGTCTAAACAAATGTAACCTTGTCTCAACTAATCCTAATTAAGACAAGAAAATGATTATAAGCTATACAGTATATTAAATAGACGAGAGAGAGAGAGAGAGAAAGAGAGAGAGAGAGAGAGGACTTTATGTTGTTAGCAAAATCAACTTGATTTTTCCCCCAAAGTTTTCAGAAATTGTCCATCGTGTGCCATGGTGGTAAAGAGATACAGGCAGCAGAATTGTCCTAGGAACCATGGAGTCCCCGGTGGCCCACTGTGTGTTGAACTGTTGGGCGTGGTTTTCCGTTTTGCCCAGGAGGCCACGATTTCGGTGGGTCCTCAGAGAAAGTGCCTCGTCCTGGGGTGTGTGTGGGGTGTGTCCAAGCCTGATCTCCTCTCATCAGCTGTGTCCTGGAGAATCAGGCAGAGACATCCTTCGGGCCCTCACTGGGGTGACAGCAGGGGTGAGGAGGAGACCGCTGGGGAGGAAGGAGCGCCCCCCCACGGGGAGTGGGTCTCCCTGCCAGGCCCATGCGTGTGCAGCGTCTATCTGCTTATCTCCTGGGACCCTCGCAATGACACCGATTTGCTTGTTATCCTCACTTTAGACAGGGGGGGAGGGTGAGGCTCTCAGTGTGGCTCACCAGCCATCGGGGGAAGAAGGTGACCCCAAGGACGCCATCTGCATCCAGAGCTGCACTCCCAGCCACTAATGCCCCGGTCACATCTGGGTGTGGTGTACCTGGTACTGGGTGGGGGTCCTCTCTCCTCTCCCACCCCTTCCGCTTTGGGAAAGGCCCTCCCACAGTGCCCAGCCATGGAAGGTGCTGGAAAATTGGAGTTCCTACTCTCTCTGGCTTCTCCTAAACATCCCTCCTTTTGCAGATGGCCATCTGCAAGCTCGAGAGAGAGAGAGAGAGGCCGCAGGAGAAGCCAATCCAGCCGACACATCACTCACGGACTGCCAGCCTCCTCAAGCTCCAGGAAATACCCGTCTGCTGTCTGAGCTGCCCCGCCTGTGGCACTCGGCTGCACCAGCCCTGGGGGACTCACGTGCTGTTGCTCATTTTGCTCCAACTACCCTGGTGTTTTTGCTGTTCTTCAGATGTCCCAGCACACGCCTGCCTCAGGACCTTGGCACTGGCCGTTCCCTCTGCCTGGGGCGCTCTCTCCCCGCCTGCTCACGCCCTTGCCTGCTTCGGGCCTCCCCCAGGTGCCACCTGGCACGCCTCCCCTGGTCCCCGTGCCCCGCCCCACTTCACTTCTACCCTTGACACTCATCGCTCCAACACACCACAGCTTCTCCGTCTCCTGGTGTCCCTCACTAGGGTGAGCTCTGCAGGGCACGGCTTTTGTCACCAGTTCTGTCCCAGCGGCCACAGCAGTGCCTGACGCAGTTGCTGCCGCATCACTTTTTTTTTGAATGAATGAATGAACGTGGAGCACTCTCCACCTGCCAGGTATTGACTGGGTCCTCACAAACACCCTCAAAGCAGGCACTTTTATCTCCATTTGAGAACAGAGAGGTTAAGTAAGCTCCCTGAGGCCACATTTCTCTCTGGCAGGAGAATGGGGATTTGAATCCAAGGGGTCTTGGCCTCCGAACCTTTCCGCCGTGGACAAAGCGCCTGGGCAGGTGGAAGCACAGCAGGGGGCGGTCACGGGCAGAGGCTGGAGATGCACTTCCGGCTGTGACTGTTTTGGGGACCACCTAGGGATGAGTGAGGGGCCCAGGACAAGATAGGATGGTGGTGTCTCTCTTTTAACATTTTAAAATGCAGCCGCATCTCACATCCCATACCTGTGTATTTGGTTATAAAATAATATAAAATAATTTTTATAATATAATGATATATTATATTATAAATACAAATATTATAATATTTATATTTATAATACAATAATATTTTAGTATTAAAATTATATAATTATATTATAATTATATACTATAATTATATATTAAATTATATAATACTTTATAACATATTTATAATATAATTTATACATATTATAAATATAATATAAATATAATATTATAAATATTATAAATAATGTAAAGTAATTTTTATACATTTGTTTAAAAGCACCAAGTGTGTTACCTTTGGCTCTGATGTCTGGCCAGTCAACCTGTCTACTTAGGAATACTTTCGCAGTCATATTACTTAACAATAGAGTAGAATTTCTCTGAACACCAAATTTAGTTATTTTTAAAGTTGATAAATATTATGTTGTATACACAATTAAATCGATTAGTTTTGTTTTGGCTGATTTCATATTCTGGAGACTACATACATTTTTTTTCCCTCAAATTTTAAATTTCTTTTGAAGTTTCATGAGTAGCTTGTGACCCTGGGCCCAGTGGCTAAACTGGCCCCAGGTAGGGGCCACCGAGGGGCGGCCGAGCAGAGAGGTCAGGCCTGGGGGTTTGGAAGCCAGGCCCCCTGCATCTGAAGCATGCTTTGCCACTTTCTGGTGGCCTGAGCAAGAGACCTACCATGCCTGTGCCTCAGTTTCCCCTGAAAAACAGGAGTGACACTACCAGTACCACGCTCCCCATGGGAGCCTGCGAGGCTGGGGCTAAAATGGGTGACAAGCAAGCGTGTGCTCAACACCCGTTAGTGCTCGTTGCCATGGAATCGAGGGGTACTGAGAACAGCCTGGGGGGTGCTGATGTCTCAGGGGCTTCAGGAGGAAGTGGAGGCAGGAGAGGAGGCAGAGAGGTGGGAAGGCCACACTGCGGGGGTGTGAGGGAGGACAGCGTGGGAGAAGGGTCACTTCTGGAGATGGACGCCAGGGCAAGGCGCGGACAGGCGGAAACCGCCCGGGTGACGGGAGGGGACGGTCCCATCGCGCCCGGTGAGCCGACTGGAGGAAGCGAGCACATTCCCGCGTGCAGGCCTTTGGCACACGCGGCGTCTGCACAGTGGCGCGAGCCCACGAACGTGATGGTGCAGCTGAAACTGGGCAAAGCGGCCTTAATGATCAAGGGGAAACCACGATGGTTCTGTGACCTTTAAAACATTAAAAGCTGTCTCAGTGTCAGTTACAAACATACAGCACAAGGAAACAAAAAACTGTAAAACTAATGTTTATTTCGCACGCTGTGATTTAAGTGTCCAGACGTCAAGGATTAGAGTGTTTCGTTTCCTTGTAAAGAACTCACCAAGAGTAGTTGGAACAGCGCTGGCCTCTTCTGTCCATCATATTGTTTGCACCGTACTGAATGAGCATCTGCCCTGTGCCCGGGTGACCGTCGCACCCCTTTCTGAGTCTGGGTCAGCTCCCAGCTGAAATCTGTACCGACAGGACCCAAGGGAGGACTGCGTGCATTTACTTTCTAATGCCGGCCGTAGGTGTCAATGACACTGCTTTTTAAAAATTTTTTTTATTTCAGCATAATATGGGAGTACCTCCTCTAACCTTTGCTAAGTAAAGGCAAAGTCATAAAATCTAACCAAAATGATATTTAAAAAAATGACACTGCTTTTTGAAATACGGTGATTACCTGGGGTTCCCAGGGCTATTTCTATCTACTGAAGAAGAGGGTTCAAGTTCCTATGAGTGGAATGAGAGGTTTGAGTTCAGGCTCAGCCACTTGATGGCTGTGTGACATTGGCATGCCCCCAACTCTCTGTGCCTCGGTTTCCTCTTTTGTGACTCGGCGGTGGAATTAATAATGTCTACTCACAAGGTCACCATGAGGGTTAAATGAGCTAATACACATTAAACCCAGCAGTGCCTGGTGCATAGTAGGAGCTATTAATATAAATGTGTGAACTATTATTTATATTCTTTAAAATAGCTAATATTGGGCATTTCCTGAGTGCCAGGGCAATATCGAGCAAACTACAAATACTGCCTTATGGAAGCCCCATAACAGTCCTAAAAGATGGTTCTATAATGTGCATTTTGCAGGTGAGGAGAATGAAGTTTGGAGAGATATTTAACGTGCCCATGGCCACATGGGCCCAAGTTCATCTGACTCCAAAGGTGAAGCTTTTTAACCATTTGTTATACTTCTCCAAACATCAGCCTCTGGGAACATCTGGCTAATAACTGTCCCTATATATCATTAAACATACATGTACAATAGGTCTATATTATATCTAGATTGTTTATTGTATAATGTGTCGGGTCATATCTAGACCCATGCTTATGTTGTTATCACATAAGATCATAAGAACTTTTCTGTACCTATCTTAGAAAGATTTCCACCCCCTTGTTTACTCTTTACTCTTCATATTTTTTCTTTTCTTTTCTTTTCTTTTTTTTTTTTGAGACAGAGTTTTTCTCTGTCACACCAGCTACAGTACAGTGGTGTCAGCCTAGCTCACAGCAACCTCAAACTCCTGGGCTCATGTGATCCTCCGGCCTCAGCCTCCTGAGTAGCTGGGACTACAGGTGCGTGACACCATACCCAGCTAATGTTTTTCTATTTTTGGTAGAGACGGAGTCTCGGTCAGGCTGGTCTCGAGCTCCAGACCTCAAGCGATCCTGCCACCTCTGTCTCCCACAGTGCTAGGATGACAGGTGTCATCCCAGCCCCCTTGTGTATTCTTTAACGTTTATATAAATTTAGGTGATAGACTGGATCTTCTCATCACAAAGTCATGGGCTTACCGCCCTAAAATGATGGAAATAATTTAGGTCTGTAATAATTTCCGGGCAGCTTCAGATTAAATTTCTTTCGATCTACTTAGAGGTGTAAATATTTCTCCTGGGGAATCATTGAGTTCAGCTTCCTAATTTGATTTGGCAAAAAAGGAAGTGAAGTCTGTCTGCTTCATCCAGAGCAAGGCGTTTCAGTGCATTTGGGAGATGTTCAGATATCTGTGTAGGTGTTTTTAATAAGTTAGTTCACCTAATTGTATTTCCTCTCCACTAAATAAGAAAAGTCCTACCCTAATGGCTTAATCTTTCTAAATTATTTTCTGGTTTTAATTGTGCTGTTTCCCACAAGCACCTAATTTAATTATAAGATTGTGAAGCTTTTCTCTGGAAAGCTGGCTTGCACGTTCGGAAGGCTGGGACTCAGATGTCGGGTGTGGGGGAGTGTGCTTATTCACTTGCTCAAGAGTGAGCAGGAAAATGCCCATAGGCTCACCTGCCTCTGTTGTTCAGCTCTTTGGAAGGTGAGGAATACAGCAGGGTCAGACCCAGGCAGGTGCTGAGAAAGACCCAGCCCTGTCCCGAGGGGCCTAGGCACAGGCAGGAGACACACACCCCAAAGGCTGCCATCCACCTTCCCTTGCCAGGATGACGCTTTGCTGCAAAACCCAGTTGCCTTTGCTGAAATGACAGTAAATCAACTGAACCCATCACCTTGCAGTGGCTTCAGGAAATGTGTGTCCCACTGAACAATTAGTGTCCTGGAGTGACATGTCCAGCTGGTTATTTTTGCAACGTCTTTTAAAAGCATTATGCTACATGCAAAACAAGGAAGAAGGAAGCCCAGTTTTGCTGTCGTGGGGAAAATGATGGATCCTTTTACAGTGGGAAGGTTTTTAGCTTCCAGGAGATTCACTCTAAGAGAGCGGCGTCCAGCCTTTGAGGTGCCCAGGTAGGCAGGAAGCTCACACCAGCTTGCCTCAATGGCTCCAGTGTGCCTCTGGTCGGGCTGCAATACCCGTGCATAGGGATCCACTCTGGGTTGGCCCAAGATGGGGGCTGGGGGAGGGGTGGGCACCTTGGGTTTCTTAGGGGAGGAAGGTAGAGGGCAGGTCCCTCCCATGGCTTGTCCAATGTGTGCTTCCAAACTTGACTGCAGAACATCAATAGCAAAGAAAGAAAGACCAGAGGAAAGAAAGATGGCGACATTTTAACTGGGAGGATTACCAATAATTTTTTTTCTTCTTGCATTTTCTAATTCTAAGATAATTTTTAATGATTATGACCATGCATCATTGTGTGTGTGTGTGAGTGAGAGAGAGACAAGAGGGACAGGGACAGAAAAGGAAGAGAGGAAAGAGAGGAACAACAGGAAGACATCTATCTTGACTGATGATAATGATGACATTCCATGTTTAAGTACATTTTAGAAGGAAAACGTGCCCTAAAAGAGAAAAAAATACAACATGGAATAATGGATTCTGGGTTCTTCCATATCAAGTGGAGAAACGGGACAACTTACTGTTTCGTTGTCACTTTTTCCTAGAGCAGCCTGCCTTAGGAGCATTC